AATCCATATTTTGAATGGTGTTTAAATTCCCTCAAGCTAAACAGGTGATGGAACTGGTTGGAAGTTCCCCGTCAACCTTTGGATACATGGTGTCTGAGCCAGGCCTTTCTGCTTCCATGCAATCTGCCGCTGAGTACACTTTGCTTGCCCCCTCAACACTGTCTTCAATGGTGAGTAACATACTGGTGATTCAAAAAAAAAAAGCACGCCCCTATTTAGTTGATGGCTGAAGACAAAGCCTGGGTCCATTCTCTAGACTCTATTCTAGTCACATTCTGGAATAATTGGTGATATTTAGATTTGTTTTGTATTTACCCCTCATGTGCTGAGTCATTAGTCAATATGTGTAAATGTATGGAGCTTTAGGGAAACTATACATTTATTGGCACACTGCAGAAGCTTTATGCCATGTAACAGCAAGTGTCCACTCCCCCCGAGAACATTCCTGGACTTCACCCAAAGGGAGTAGAGATGATTTGTTTTTGCATTAAGAACGACAGAGAACATTTCTCCAAAATGTCTAACTACTAATTATTGTCGTCTTTCTTGAAACTGACGTGCTTAAATTCTCTGAGAAAGTTACTGAAGGATACACTTTTGTGTATAAAAGCTGAAAAGTAGATAATGAAGTAGATTTCGTTAAGAATCTTTGACAGATTTATGCTTAAATTCTCTGAGAAAGTTACTGAAAGATACACTTTTGTGTATAAAAGCTGACAAAGTAGATAATGAAGTAGATTTCGTTAAGAATCTTTGACAGATTTATGCTTAAATTCTCTGAGAAAGTTACTGAAAGATACACTTTTGTGTATAAAAGCTGACAAAGTAGATAATGAAGTAGACTTTGTGTCCGTGTGAAACCCCATACAGAATGTCAGTCCCTGTGTTACAACTTTTTAGTGACACTCTGCAGATTTGTGTGTAATTCTCTCACAAAAGGAACTGTAAGATACACTTTTTTATGTATGCAAACGTCTTTCTTGAAACTGACGTGCTGACCGTTTTACAAAAACAAGTTATGTTTTCTGCTTTTTCATCCTCTGAATTTTCCTCCCCCGTCCCTCTTCCTTCACCCCTCACAACAACAAATCAAGGTGGATCTGTGAAATGAAACACCTCTTCCCAAAGCGTGACTTCCCTATTGAGGGCATGCGTCTAGGGCAGTAGGGTCTAATCGATTGACCAAATATACTAACATGCAGAACGTACGGTATGTTTTGAAAAAAGACTAACCATTTATCCAGTTAAAGCTGTCTTTAAGATGTGACATTGCGCACTGACTATTTCCCGTAAAATCGTGACAAACTATTACTTATTCTTAAATTTGATCTCTTGTTGCATGGTTGAAAATGATAGATGAAAAATAACTTTTTTAAAAAGAGTCAAGTTTTTCATGATCAGATACAGGTCAAGAAAATGCATAGAGGAGGTATGGTGCTGGCTCATTAGCCCTCTCACTCTTCTTAGAATGATCCTGTGCAATTATAGTTAATAAAAGTAATTACACATTAGTTCACAAATCCATATACTGAAAGAGAATACCCTTAGGTATCACTATTAAAACCTAAATAAGATCTTTTGAAAATAACCTCTTTTGCAAAACAAATACTTCTTTAGCAGTTTCACAAAAACTTGAAAAGAAACATCCTGAACGGAAGAGGGGGTGAGTGGTGTGTGTGTGTGTGTGTGTGTGTGTGTGTGTGTGTGTGTGTGTGTGTGTGTCCTCCCCATCGCCCCACCATTTGTCCCGCAGAGGATGTCTGGGGGTTTTATGGTCCCCACACCTGTCTTGACTGTTCACCAAACTTTTCACGGCAGAGAATAGCAGAGAGCGAGAGAGAGTTAGTGAGATTGACAGTACTTTTAAAAATATATGGTTGTATATTTCTTGTTATTTGCAAGTATTTGTAAGTTACAGTCAATACTGCTGTATACAGGGGCACAGGAAGTGGTTAGGTGGCGGGGCCTTGCTCTTTAGAGTTGAGACATTACTTTTAAAATATATGGTTGTATATTTCATGTTATTTGCAAGTATTTGTAAGTTACAGTCAATACTGCTGTATACAGGGGCACAGGAAGTGGTTAGGTGGCGGGACCTTGCTCTTTAGAGCTGAGACATTACTTTTAAAATATATGGTTGTTACATTTCATGTTATTTTATTTTGAAAACCGGAAGCGGGGGCGACCGGTAGGGGCAGCATTTTTATTTTTATCATTTTTAAAATATTTTTTAATTTTATTTTGAAAAACCGGAAGTGGGGGTGACCGGTAGGGGCAGCATTTTTATTTTTATCATTTTTAAAATATTTTTTAATTTTATTTTGAAAAACCGGAAGTGGGGCGGGACTTCCGGTGGAAGGGGCGGGGCTTATGGGGGCGGGACTTCCGGTGGAAGTGGGCGGGACTTCCGGTGGAAGTGGGCGGGGCTTAGCCGGAAGTGGGCGGGGTTTAGCCGGAAGTGGGCGGGGCTTAATAAGTAGGGAGAGGTGTGACCTGTCACTTTCTATGCATACTAATGAGACGAAAGTGGTATGTGTATAACTACTACCAGCTGTTAAATAAAGCTCTTCTGACCTTAGCTGGCATGTGTGTATATATATATATATATATTAATGCTGCCCATTATGGGCACAAGCAATTTTCACCCATTTATTAATTATATGTTTTAAATGTGAGTGTTTCCTATCCCCTAAACCTCCAGGGATGTACACAGTTTAATACTGGCAACTTCTTATTATGGGAAATACGAAAACGTCTTTTAAAACTACAACTCCCAGTAGAGACGTGCCATAGATACAGAACATGTTGCGAAACAAAATAGCCAGCATTTGTAGTTCTGGGGACAGGGTGGGGGAGGGGGGACGCGGTGGACCCGTTCAAATCCAGTTTTGGACAGTCTGCCGTGCATGGTTCCATCCCATTTCAAGTGCTGTTCGAGGCTCGGCGTAACCCTCGGAGCACACTCTCCAATCACAGAGCTTGAGGACTATCACGGGGTTTGTCAAACAGAGCACATGGTGTAGTCCAAACGATAGCTGGGGATTCTGGGTAGTGTAGTGTCTTCTGCCATCCTTTACTCCGAAAAAACATTTGTTTCTCCGAATCGAAGGGGAAAAATACAAAAGCATTGCACACAATTTAAACCAATCAATGTTGTGTAATTAACAAGGATAATCTGGTGTTTTTTAGTCGATGAGTAGTGCAGATATCACTGTAAAATCAATCGACAGTAAGGGGAATACTTACTTCCGGGTGTACAAGTCTCCGTTATCCAATGAGAATGGACGCTCACATTGCCTTTAAGGGCAGTCGACACAAACGAACGCCGTGCTTCCATGAGCGTCCATAGAAGCATATGGACATCCCGGAAAGCTGAAAATGGACGCTAAGGCCCCCCCCCCCCCTTGCGTTGGAAAAAGCCGACAGGGAACTTGACATAACGTCAACATAGGCCGACCTGGGAGTGAGGATGGGTTGTGAGGGTAGGTGTTTAAAGTCGGTTGCGGACAACGCCACCTGGGGGAGTTTCGCCCCCAGGAAATTATAAAGACTAGGTCTAATACTGCTAAGGACAATCAGGTTCGTTTTACACCACGGGCAGAGACAGTTTTAAGGGTCAGAATACAGTTTTATTTATAACATACAAAATATCTAAAAACACCACACACAATACATTTGAATAAAATACCCACTTTGGGGAAACGGACAGGGCTTGGCTTCCCATGGCGGCAGTTAACAAAAAGGGGAGTAAGGGGTCCAAAATAAATCACTGCACACCACTCAAAACGGATATGTGAAGAAAACCACTGCCACCACCAGGGCGCTGCCGCCTCAGGCCCACAGCACCTGTCCGGCACAGGATAAAAGGTTATAATTCTGACAAAAGGATAAACAAAAGAAAACAACAAAATACACCAAATCTGAATGAATGTAAACAATTGAATAAACAAATTAAAGCAAATTTAAAGGACTGCAAGGAATAAACAAATTAAAGTAAATGTAAAGGACAGCAAGGAATACACAAATTAAATAATAAATGTCCTTATAGTCGTGTATTAGGACCATTCCCTGACGCCAAGAACGGCTCCAGCAACAGGCCAGATATGCATGCAGTAACAAAAAACAACCAGACAACATTCCTAGCTTCAAGTCTCTAAGCCCTGATGTTGAGGTTATTTGATTTACAGATGATCATATCAAACAATGTTGTCCCTTAAAACTAAATATATTATACAATCAATATAAACAGCATTAGACATCAATTCATCCCCACGACATGCTTAATCTACTCCCCTGCAATGGGCATTAGTTCAGTCTTTAAAAATACCTCATGTTGTTTGTATAAACGTTGCTAACACTGGTTGATTTTTAGGAACAATTGTAAAGCATAACACAAAGACATCTTGAATAGTACAGTATATTAGGCTTAATATTTTTATTTTACTGGCTTAATATTTTTCATTTAACTTATCAGTGGACAGCAAGTGTCACTGCACTTACTCGAAAGCTGTTATCTGTCCTTTATGGTAAACTATGCACACATACCTCCATGACCATTGAGGAAAAGTCTAAAGTCTAAAGTCCTTTGGGTTTTAATATTTGACTTAGAGTAAAAACTCAGGAGTCAAATTACGAGGTAGTACAGGCAGAAGAAAACATATGTGTGATGTCACAGTTTGTAAAATGTACGCCAAGTATGTTGACAAATAAGTGGGAAATCTAGATTTAAAAAAAGAAGCATATTTGTTGGCCTACATTTAGCATAGTATGTCTTCAGCTATTACAACTGAACCTAAGGATCCTGAATCCTCTAACAGGAGTTACAGTTGCACTGCATGTGGAGGCTTATATACATTGTTTATAGCTCAGTAGCCCAAATTAAGCAACCTGGATGCAACTGGCCTGTGTCAGAGCATGACTAAGAGGATTAGAGAAGATTTACCTACCAGGTTCACACACACTTGCTGCATATCAACAGGTCAGTTAGCCTTGTGCGCCGCATTAGCATTCACAATGGACTAGGACAGCATTGAGCAGACATGGGCGCCATTTTCTTGTGACCACACATGGGATTTTTCCTCCCATCCTACAGTTGAGCTTCTGGCAAAGGTCAGTGTTTAGCTCCATCTGTTTATTCCCATAGAAAGCTTCCCTGCATGTGTGTTTGTTTGTTTGTGTTTAAGATCATAGCGTGTTAGCGCCACGCTGCAGACGGCCTTCTTTTCTTTAGCAGCCTACCTGATCTCTAGACTCAACTAACCACAAACAGCAACTTTGGTCATCAATACACTGTATTTTAGAGATCTGACCTAATTTTAGATTAAGTACCTTTCCTATTTATGAGCTTCAATCTGAGCGGGGACAGAGCACTAAGATCTTTTACTTAAGCAAAAGTGGCATTACCAAAGTGTAGACATACTTACAACTAAAAGTCTTGCATTATATAATGTAAGTAAAAGTACACAAGTATAAGCATAACAATACCAAGTAATCACTCTACACAACAGTCCATATACAAATTATATTATCGAATAATTGATGCATTATTGTTTTTTAACACTTTAATTTTACAGTTGTTTAAGTTTGAGTATTTTTTATGACATGTTCTACCAGGTGAATTTGACCAAGGGATCATTAAAGTTGAATGATGAGACTTTGACTCATCATTGTACCCTGTATACAAGGGCAGGGTTGCTTTCACTTACTGTACGGCGGCTAAATCACTGGTATCTTTTTATTTATAAAGCAATGTTAGGGAAACTTCCGTCTTACATCTGTTCCCTGATCTCACAGCGTATTGTAAATGGCTACTGCCTGAGATCTAAAGCTGTGGTTGTATTACATGTGCCAACTGCTAGGACTGTATTAGGAAATACAGCTTTTAGATGCGCAGCGCCGCTAGCATGGAACAGTCTACAAAAGGAATGGAAGCTAAGCAGTTTGATTCCATTTCATGTTTTTAAAGCTAGGATAGACGCTATACAATCAGAAAATATTGGTGTCTGTAAATGCTACTAGTATACAAACTGTAGTATCATATAATGTCCTTTGTTTTCTGTCATGTTTGTATTAATGTTTGGAACTAATTGAAGCAGGTCACCATTGTAAAAGAAGTCTATGATCTCAATGGGTTTTATCTGTATAAATAAAGGTTTTGAATTGAATTGAATTGAATGTTTTGTATTAATATTCTGAATCTTCAATGTAACCAAAGTTATCTAATAAATGTAGAGGAGTAAAAAGAACAGTATTTGCCTATAAAGGTATAAATTAGCAGGAAATAGATATAAAAATAAAGTAGGATTACCTTGTTAATTGTATTAAAGAACAGCAATTGAGTAAGTGTATGACGTTACTGTTCACTGGCTGTAGCAGGTAAATCACATTAACAGTAATCATGTTTATCTCAGTCAGAACAGCACAATGTGAAGTGAACATGCTTCATCATGACCTCATATATCCTGTTGACTGCGTTTACCTGGACATTCAAGGGGATATTGTGCACCTGCAGGTTCCTCTGGGTAAGTGTTAGCTCTGTGAAATGTGCCCTTTAAATGTTCTCTCAATAACACATTTTGATAATTGTTGTACTTTTTATGGTGACTATAAATCGTCATTATTTGCATTTCAGATATGCCCATATAATGCCATCAAATTCTTGCCTAGGGAGAGGCACATTCAAGAACACACGAGCCGACAGCTGAAACAATTTGTGGGTAAGGATCTCATAAACTCAGCAATAAACACTGCCCAATAAAATCGTTACTTTTAATTAAAACATATTTAGCAGGCTTAAATATATTCAGAGATGCTGATGTGTTTTAGCTCCACAAGCAAACCCTTTCACCACTACAGTGGACAGCTTTTCAAAAGGTGTTTTCTTGTATATGCATGGATTTTGATGGCATAGTTGGACCATCAGCCATCATAGGACCCTATTGCATCATCCCATACACTGCCACTCAGTGGAAAGTCAGTGCAAGTGCATGATACATTTCTCTAAACCAAGATGAACGACAGAAAGCCAGATGGATCAAGTCACCTGCCGATATCCTGCCAATCCTTTTATGGAAAGCGTCCCCTGCAGGTATAACACATTTGGTGACATCAAGTAACAACTAAGGAATCATATAATTCATAAATTGTATGAATTTTACTTCATTAAAGTATTGATTTTATGTTTGCAGGAAATTATGATTATTCACCTGTCCACTAAAGTGGACGTCATGCATCACTGGCTATATTTCAACAACAATTCATACTGTACTGCTACTGTTCTTCTTGAAAATACTTCATTTGCAATATCTTTTTGGGCCTTAAATCAATATACTTATGTTATTATAATGTAATTTTAAGTTTGCACATCTTTATTTATCATTTTTTCCAAATGTACATGTTTTCAGTTCAGACTTTAACGCATACTGTCCACCTGAGTGGACATATAAAACATTTTTTTTCTAAATTTGAAAAAACTAGATAAAAATAAATTAAAGTTAAAATCTTGTTTGTCATGCCCCAAGAGCAATAAAAACACTTGGTAAAAACAATCCTGAGTGAGGCTTTCATAATTCATGCATGAAAGGGATGTGCATTGGTCCTTATGGTTTTTTATGGGAGACAATAAAAGTGAATCTTCCGGTATCACTCTAATTAAAATGTAATGACGGAAAAAAGATTATATATCAAGGTAAACCAACAACAAGCTGTATTGTCTTATCAAGTTTGTGAGGCCAAAGGTATATTTGCATTCTACTATAATTACACTTTACATCTGTGTAGGCAGAGATATGATGTGTTGAGCTAATTTTACTTTATTTATCAGGTTCTGAAAGTAAAGGGTTTGCAGTCATACCAGGCAGCCCAGACCACGAAGGAGCTCTTCATAAAAGGCTGACAAAAACCGAGAAAGAGATTCTGGCAATCAAGGCCAGGGCCGCCTGTGAGAAAGCATCATGGGAGAGGAGGTTTACGCAGCTGCAGAGAAAGCACGAGGATCTATGTAATCAGGTGTGTTAAAGTAGTGAGTAGTATTCAATGGTTTACTTAAGTTTAAGTAGAAATACCACAGTATAAAAATACTCCAAGTCCTGCATCCACAATTTTCATGTAAGAAAAAAAAAAGTACAGAAGTATTGGAAGCAGAAGTTTTAAACATACAAAAATCCATAATAAAAATACTCACAAAGCAGAGTGGCTACTGTCAGTGTTCTAGTCAAATGTGAGAGAATCAATCATATATATTGGTCTTTCATAGAACTGTCTAACTTATCTTGAACATTTTATGTTTCGTATTCTTTGTGGTTCATGTACTTTCTACTGTAGATATGTTTATTTGCCGCTGTTTATTGTTTTTATTTTCTTATTTCATTACGTTGATAACTTATTTCCAACTTTTAACGTTTTTTAACACCTAAACACACTGCTGCTACTGTAACTAAATCATTTCCTATCTATCTATCTATCTATCTATCTATCTATCTATCTATCTATCTATCTATCTATCTATCTATCTATCTATCTATCTATCTATCTATCTATCTATCTATCTATCTATCTATCTATCTATCTATCTAGAGCTGATTTGAACTACTTCACAGTTTAATCAGTAACAATGATGATATTTTAGATCCTGATCATATTTTCATGTATGTTTTTTTTAATATGTAGTTGGAAGGTATCTATAGCACTACGTACTTCAGTAAATGTTCTTTGTTACGTTCCACCAGTGGTAATAATAATTTCTCTTCTCTCCCCAGCTGGCCTCTCAGGCTGTGTTGGTGAGAGAGGCTGGTTGTGATGAAGAGTCGGTGGGGAACAATGGAGAAACACTTGAGGAGTGTTCAAGTAAATGACAGTAACACAGTGAGCTCATTCAGATGTATGCTTTCTAAATTCAATAACAATGTCAACTCTCATGTACAGGAGGTCTCACAAGAATCATGCACCAACACAAAGGGTCTGATGTGTCAACAAGAGGCGACGTAAGCAGTTTGTCAGGCAGCCAGTTCTTCTCATCAGTGACTCTGAGCCCAAGACCTTCCTCCTCCTCCTCATCTTCAGCCTCCAGGTACAGTGATTGGTGGAGAGTTGGTTTAGATTAATATTGACCATTCTCATATCTGTACAGCACATAACAAGCAGCAGCTAGAGTTAGATTATCTCAGCACAGTGACCTGAAAAAGGGAAACAGCGACCTCTATAGGTCACTCATTTATTGACCTCTTTAAAACGACACAGCTATATCACTTTTAAATTATGAAAACTGCACACACTGTTTTTCCTTTTTTGTATTTTTTGTATTCTTCTTTACTTTAAATGTTCCAAATGTTTACAAAATACATGTCACACTACTTTATATATATGCTCTTAACTTCTTGCTTCCTCTTACTAGATTAATGCATACACCATTATCACCTAAAGTAAATTCCATGTCTGTGTAAATTTACAAGGCGTGACCTGATTCTTTCCCTGATTTGCATAAACTGCACCCAAAAAAACAACAGTTTACGAGGGTTGTGTGCAGGACTGTTTCCTGGTTAGGAGGGAGGGAGCATTACTTTCAGGCTTCCTAGTACCTGCTTCCAGGCAGGAACTTGTCCAGTTCTGTAAAATCATGTTTTACTATTCAGTTATGTGCAGATTAACAGAGGCGAATAATGCAAATTATAGGATTTCCAGCTGCTATGAGGTGGATTTCACTACTTTGCTGTACACAGCTTCACATTTTCTGTATGGACGTGTCTAATTAGTCTCACTGAGAAATGATAAATTGTAGGTGCAAGGTCATGTGTGGCTGAAAAAACTTCAACAATGACAGCCCTTGGTTATAGGCAGGGTTCGAGTTATGTGGGAGCCAATGGGAGCTGAGCTCCCATAAGGAGGGGTCTGAGCTCCCACGGACGCAGTGAAATCATCTGTGGGGAAAATAAAAATAAACACAGATAGCAAACTATATTTAAGAACACTATAATAACATTACAAAAAAAGACAAAATATATTAAAATAGATAATAATATAAAGCAGTAATTTACATTGAAACAGAATGCAATAAAATATAAAATACGTGCAGTAAGCAAACCAGATATTGTCAACATTGTGTGCATGTAATGCATAGAGCCTTTGATGTTGCTGAGGTGAAGTGGTCTAAGATTTAATAAATGTAACATATTTTTAAATGTATTTCACTGGACATAAAAGTAAACCCTCTCTCCCTCCAGTGTGAGGTCATGGAGGTCGTCCAAAGGTCCTCACCGGGTTTTTGTTCCCCATTCCCCCATGGACCTGGAGCTGGGTCACCGGGTCAGGATCATGCTGCCGTCGGGACGGGTCAGCACGGGAACGATCCGTTACCTGGGCCACCTGCAGGGGGAGGCAGAGCTCCATCTGGGGGTGCAGCTGCTGACACCTGATCACGGATTGCATGGTGGCAGCCACAGGGGACACAGCTACTTTGAATGGTAACTGATCTCATTTGCCTACTGTGTGAACACAAGCTACACGTTGCATCTCAGGGTGTGTGACCTGGCATTCAGTGCTGCTCCGGGATTTATTGGGTACCCCACTGCGTCACTCGGATATCACATTACAGATATCTTTGCTATTAACTAAATGTTCTGGCAGGATCGTCTGAAATTAAACTCTTATTGTCGAACATCTGGCTCGTTGAGTTAAGACATAAGACTACAGCCCTTAGGTATTCAGCTGCCTCCAGACACACTTACTCAAATTCTTTGCACTTAGTGGTAAACGTGTCAACTGCTCAATAACAGCCTTTCGAGGTGAAGCATAAACCTGTCATGTGAAGTATGAACTAATTTGCCTGTAGCGTGACACATTCTTCTTCATGGAAACAGGTTTCGTATGTAGTCTTTTCTTCAAAGACCCAGTAGGGAAATACAAAAAACACATGAACTACACATGGGAAATTGAAAACAATATCTTTAAAACTAGGTCTATGTGCCTTTTCTTTACCTTCTTGTGACGAAAGCTCATTAACTCATGAATATTAACTTTTAATGTATGACTTCAGGACTGTAATGGAAATATGTCTTCATAGCGATATCTTGATGATTTTTCAGTAGTGTCTGTATTTCATTTATGTCTTAAAAATGTGTTATTTCTCTCCCTTAAAGCAATCCTGGCTATGGCGCCTTTGTACCTTTCCACAAACTACTGATGGCCTGGGAGTGACAGAAGTACAGACTCCTGATTTAGAGCCAACTGGATGCATGGCAAGAGGGCCAAGAAAGCAAAAGAGTAGTTACATTAATTCATTCTAAAAATGTATTATAAAGAGATAAATCTTTGTATCAAAGTATTTAAAAAAAGTGTGTATTGTCTTATGTCTTATTCCCAATAACAATACCTTGTTGAATACTTCTGTTTTGTGAGCTTTGGTACCCAGTAATGTTGGACATGCAGAAATAAATGGCTGTTCTTTTGTTGAGTTAGTCGGTGGATTAGTCCTCTCACTAAACAGGCCATACAGTGTCTTAGTCCCACTGAAAAATGAGAGCAAGGACATGTTTGGTTGAAAAACTTCAACAATGACAGCCCTTGGTCATAGGTCATACAAACAGGTTGTGCACTGTGCACAAAATCTGCTTCATGCCCTAAGCTAAACACTTAAACATGCTCACAATGTAAACAACATGTTTGTGTTTAGTAGGGATTTTTACCACAATTGTGTTATTTTAGCCTGAAAACATGATCAAATGTGCTGATTACCAAACACAGAAATATCACTGAAGTAGGGACTGATGGGAACGTCATTAGTGTTTCAGGTATTTGGTTGAAAACCAATGCTGTCAGGAGATTAGAGTTACTATCCCTCTTCTGGGGACCATGAATGTGTTCACCCACATTCCAAGTAATCCATCCTGACAGTGTTTCTAGAGGTAAACTCAGAAGATCACTGAAGTCTGTATATCTGTGCGAAATGTAATCAAAACCATATAGTTGTCAAGCTTACTGTGTAAATCAACAGGAACTCAAGAGCAGCCATAAACTGTGTTAATTCGATAAGTATTTTATTTAAGTGATAGAAACACACACGCAGTCTGACCTCCCCCCCCCTCAGGCAGTTTTTTTATTCAGCTTGCAACATCAGTGAACATTACTCAGTTTGTAAAACTCCAGACTTTTATGAAAAATGATTGAAGTAAGAGACCTACTTGTGAAATTGAGTAAGGGAGTTTGGTAGAAAGATCTTAGGCAATGTGTTATGATGTAAGCGAAAGTATTTGCCAATATTAAGTTCCTGATAAACTTTAGAGACTTATTCACAGAGGCATTAGCCAAGATCAAAAAAGTACGACACACTCCATTTCATACATGACATGTTTTTATTTTTAATATGTTTTTTTAAGACATGCTAACTGTAAATTGATCTAACAGAACATATTTACACAACACTTGTTCCGGGAGTGTTTCATGAAACTGATGCAGATTTACAGGAAAGGTTGATGACACACAGGGAAATGACTTTCGCTTGGACTCTATAAAAGTCTTCACAGTTTCCTTGTTCCTTATGATTTATTATAAATACAATTTTGGAGCGGGATCCAGCTTCAACCATCCTAATGTGGCTAAAGCTTAACAAATACAACATACTTATTTCTCAGGTATAATATAGAAAAACCCAATTTTCTGGAGAACTAGAGTGAAATAAAAAATACAAAAATAAAACTTTAAACAGCCATTTCTTATTGCATGGGAACTTTTTTTGGAAATAGATTAAAATATATAACATTTGACACAATATGCATCAACAGTCAAAACTCTAGAAGCACTAGGCTTAACCTTTTTTGGTAAAGTGACACATTTCATCCAAATGATTGGATCACAAGGTCACATTTGACTATAATGTCATACACATACATTGAACAGATGTCTTAACTGTTCATAAATAGGAAGGCACATTTGCAATTCTGCATTGGCAACTTAGCAACTAAATATATTCAAACGCTTTATCACGATCATGATCATTCATCCCAGATCAAATGCACGCTAAAGGGACATTGAACATGTTTTCTCTCAGTGATTGTGCTCTTATGTTTTTCATGTATTGTGTCTTGATATGTGTCTATGTTGATGTTACACATGGAGCTGCTGTGATGCAAGTCAAATTTCCGACTTGATCTGACCATTAAAGTATTATCGTATCGTATCCATAGACACAATTAAGCTTTTCAAGCAAATCCTTGTTTGCTTTGATAGAGTCAACACAAATGTTATGATAGTTCTGACTTAAAAGAAAGCATTGGTAGAAAATCATCAGAGGATTATCAGAAAACCCCTCTCTGAGCCTTCAGGTTGAGGATTTCTGCAGCCAGTTTCTCCGCATTCGTCACATGAGGATACATTTCCATGACGGTATCCACCTGACTGGGGTTGAAGATGGCTTGCAGTTTCTTACGGAGATCCATCCTTTTTTGTGGGTCAAACGCATCAGGGGATCCATGCGTTGGGCCCCAGGAGTGGTACTGCTGGCCTTTGTAAGAGCCGCTGTTGGAGTGTGAGGAGTGGGCCGAAGAGGGGAGACTACACGGTGTCCTGGCTTGGGGCAACCCCTGAAATGGATCCGACCAGTATCTTTGCTGATTATGCGGGGCTCCACCGTAATGCTGATGGCTGTTTTGGGGAGGCACAATAGGCGGGAACATTTGAGGAGGGTAGCTGTCATATTGGGAATGACCCTTGCAGTCTGGGTTTCCATGAGGTTGCTGGTAAACTGTTGAGGGGCCTACATGGGAACAGCACCTGCAAGACTGGCTGCTGTTGTTGTTCTCTAAATGCACTGGGGCCTGTCTGGGTCCGGCGAGGGCACTTAGCTGCTGGGGCCTGGGTCTGTTGGGGTTACTGAGGCAATGCGAATAGTCAGAGTACTGACTGTCATAAGAGCCAAGGCCAGAATCAAGGTACTCGTGAGAGACGTTGGCATAGTAATGACTGGGCATGGAGTGCATCCCAGGCCAATCTGTGTGACACTGGCTTACAGGACAGGGCATTTGATTAGGACTTTTTCTCTGATCCTCCCAGTACAGCAGTGTATTTTCACAAACCTGACTGGGATGTGAAGGACTTTGCCTGTCTCTTGTGTGCTCTTTGGTAGAGTCTAGAGGATAGGAAAAGGCATTATGAGCAGGATCGGACTGGTGCTGTCTTGGTGATAATCTGGCATTTCTTTCTTCTTTTACAGTAGAAATCTGGGCTTTTTCTCTCAGTTCATCTGCCAAGGACAGGTAAGACTGGTTCGACCGCTCTGGATGGTAGAACTTACATTTGATGCCGTAAGTGCACTTTTTGTCTGAGGAAAACAAAATCAGATACACAAAAATAAGTTAAAGGTCATGTAATTTAGGATACAGTTTACTTCCTTGTCCAAATCTTAAAATAGCAGAGCTTATCAAATCTTACCATAAGGACAGAGCTGTCTCTTCTGCTCTGTAGGCAGAGGATTTTTCCGCAGGAAGTTGTCAAGACTGGGGCCATGGCGACCCAGAGGGTCATCTGGGGGCATGAACCTGGGGGGGAAAAATGATAAATTGCTGATTTCTTTCTTTATTTGAGACAAATCAGCTGGGTGCTGCATGATTATCTGTTGCTTACTTGTCATTCACAAAGGAGAACATGAGAAGCCTCTCCTCGATGCATTTCTTCCACTCAGGTCTTTCTCCTTGGAGGTCACGGTAGGTGTCATTGGATACGATCACTCCATCCGACTCATATGCCACCTTGACGATAAAGCGGTCATCATAGCAAACCACCCGCTTACCACCAACACGGCGCGATGGAGTGAAGACCAATATTTTCCTTTTTTCAAGCTCCATCAAAAAGTGTTGATCTGAAAGTGCAAACAATCACTGTTGAAATAGCTGTGGAGAGTACAGTATATAGCAGGTACATGTTCTCCCCTATTTGTTGAATGGTACATAAAGAGAATAGCTTTGTTATGTAACATGACACACATTTGCCATGTTCCAAAACCACACGTAGAAGATACATAAACCACTGAGCATTTTACAAAGCCACAACAATCAAATATAGGAAACAAAAGACGTCAAACAAAGTATCACCTGTACAAACATAACTATCTAATATGTACATTATATCATTTTACTCTACCTGTAATATGACTAGGTACAAAATATGAGTTAAAACACAATATATAAGTGCTTTTTAGGTAATTCGAAAGTTAAATGAACCATCAAATCTGAATGAATGAACAAGAGGCCACGTCTCATGAAAGCTGGATGCCTGAGCAACTACTTTTCAGACAATAAAGCCACTTTTCTAACTGAGTGTCTCTCAGGTAGACTGTCTTCACCCAAGCTCTTTAAGTACACTAGGTGTGGAAGAAAAAACACAGCTGTACTTCCTGTTGGGGTTTTTCCAGGAATGAATGCAGGCTGAATTTTACTTCCTTGTTCACGGATTGAAAATAGAACCTTTGGATTGCTCCACCCAGGCTCACACTAACTAACTCGTGAGAGCCACATGGTTTTTTGTAAGGACGTTCCACCCTTTATTATTGTAGTTTGAGATGGGGTAGTGTAGATATGATATGGATCTGGTTTGTAAAGATACACCCAAACATTTCAGTGATTCAGCAGTCTGAAATGTAGAGCTGTTCACTGTGTTCCTCTGCAAGAGATGAACCCACAAAGAAACTATTGCTTCAAATAATTGTCAGCATATGGAAACATCAGTTGGGAGCCAATTGGGTAAACCTGTTGCCCAATATTTGATTTGTTTCCCAATGGCTTTGGCATGAGTTCAGTGTTTTAACATTGAACATTGAAACAGTGGCTTATGGATAATTTGGTATTGCTTCACAGATAAAACAAAATGCATACCTACAGCTCCAGTTTCATGGGGAGATTTAAAGGTCACCTATCATGCTATTTTTAGGCAATAGCATAGGTCTCAGATATATATAAATATATAAAAAACATGTCTATGAAGAGTTTTGCTCAAAATACCAAATAGATCACCCATTCTAGCCATGCCTCATATCCCTCTATTTCACTTCCTGTTTCAAAAGTGCTGATTTGGGGTATAAAGCTTTAAAAAAAGAGACATTTGATTTAAAAAAAAGGAGGGGACTGAGCTCACGCGGGAGATTCTACCGGCAAATACTGCAGTAATGAAACGCCATATCATGGATTATCAAGGATTCTTTCTGAAACAGTATGGAGCTCAAAGGCTTTCTCTCTTGCCGGTTATACCACAATGTGAGTTCCTTTTTATTTCCTGCTTCTTCACACACATGCTCTGTGCAGTACTGGTTAGCTCTGAGTGTTAGCGATGCTAATGTAAACATGCACCGACCATATTACGTCCAAAACAGTCGGGCATTGTTTCTGATAGCAACGTTTCTGTTAGGGCCGTGGGCGTAAAGCCAGCCTACATTTCCGATATTACGTCATATCGGACGCAA